CCCTCCCCCCCCCCCTCCGAGGCTTTTCTTGCATATGAATAAATTTGCGGTGGCCACCCTTCCACTGGGAGTAAATTTTGGGGTTAAAGTAAAAAAGGTTCAAAGTATCGATATGATACACCCTATATATATATATATTACTAGTAAGTGTGCATGTGATAATTTTAGATGATGATAATGATAATAATAATATATCCGATTTTTTCTATAAAATTTATGTATTTTATATTTTTTGTTTTTTATTATTAATCAGATTCGGATTGCAAATCCAAATATGACAACATAAACATCTTATCCAAATACAGGATAATTGGATCAAGTTGTGAAGTTTCAAGTATTATTGATAAGCTTATTTGCTTCGCTAGATTCTTCTTTTTGTAATATTTAATCTTTTTTGTATATCTTTTTTTATTCATTTATTAAAAATATGTAAGATTTAAATGGAGGGAATTGAATGGGGTGAAAAGTAGTAGTTCAATTTACAATTTAAACCTACTAATTAAATAAGTCCTAAATTCAAAACTAAGTATTTTAGTCAAAAGAAAGTTTCACAATTTTATTCATATTTTTTAATAGTAATGTAAACATAGAATTATAGATGTAAAAATAATTCTAATGTCACACATACTTTTTGTTTAATATGATTATACATGTGCCTAAATGTTTTTTTTTGCAAAATTTATGTACTTTTTTCATTTTTTTTATTTTTATATGTTATTAACTTTTATTATTTATTTATGGCATTAAAGGCTAACATGTTTGACCAAAATTTCAACTATTGATCTTTTCCAAATACTAAATAATTTCATTTTTTGTCAGTTCTAAATTATGTACTTCATTTTCATTACGAATAAAAATAATTATTTTTTATTACAATTATTTTCTTAATTTGATTAACAAAAATCATAAATGTGTCTAATTTTTTCTACATTTTTTGTAAGATTCTATATTTATTTCTATTTAAAAAAATTTTTTTTACCTAACTATGACTTCAAAAGTTGATCAATTTGATTTGGATGGTTGAATTGATTAGTCACCACTTGGATTAAAAATGGTTTTGTTTTTGAGTTAGTTTTAAAATATATGGGTTTATATTGTTAAAAATATTGACACATATCTAATTTAATAAGAGAAAATGGAAGTTAATAATTTAAGTATAAAACTTAATGAGAGGGAATTAAATGAGGTGGGAAGTAATAATTGAATTTACATATTCAACCATTACTATTAGAAATGGACTAAAGACACAATTATGGGCATTTTAGTAGCTATTAAATCTGGCATTAAAGCTATAATAAAATAGCTTTTATACCCTTTCTCAAATAAAGAAGTAGAGGATAATTTTAGTCCAAAAAAGTTTCACATCCAAATATGTGATGTAAGTGATAGTAATTCTAGATGATGATAATGATAGTGATAATATATCCAAAATTTTTTATAAACTTTTATGGATTTTTTGTTTTTATATTTTATATTTTCTGTCATTAATCGGATTAGATTGCAAAATCCAAATCTGATTACATAAACACCTCATCCAAATATGTGATAATCGGATTGAGTTGTGAAGTTTTAGGTAACATTGATAAGTCTACCTATTTGGTAGGGATGCAAACGGATTGGATCGGATTCGAATTACGGTAATCCAAATATGATCGAATACTATTAACAGCAGATCCAATCGCATATCATAAACATGGATTTGAATATGAATCCAACGAGGAAGTCAGATATTTAGATCTGATCCATTCCAATTTAATTTAAAAAATAATAAAATATTAAAAGAAAAATTAAAATACACCAATTTAAATAGAGAAAAACAAAAAGTACATCTTTTCAACTATTTTCATCAAATATATAAATTTTTATAAAAAAATAAACAATATAACAAATTTACAAAAATGAAATATATATAATATATTTATAAATAAATAAATAAATAAATAACATATATATATGTTATATATATATACAGGGAGTGATCAAAATTTGATCTAGTTTTTTTATTGGGTCCTATTATCTGACTTGACCCAATCTGAAGATCCGGACTAGGGATACCTGAATTCTGCAAAAAGGAGTAAATCAGATCATGATCCGATCCATTTGCACCCTATTTGGCTGGATTCTTCATTTTGTAATTTTTATTTTTTTTGTGTATCTTTTTTTTTTGTTCATTTATCAAAAAAAATGTAAGATTTAAATAGAGTGAATTGAATGTGGTGAAAAGTAGTAGTTCAATTTACAATTTAAACCTCACAATTAAATAGGGACTAAATTCAAAAATGAGTGCTTTAGTCAAACGAAAATTCCACAATCATATTCATATTTTTAATAGTAGTGTAAATATAGAAATATAGATGTGTTCAATTTTTTACTATAGTTTTTTTGTATTTTTGTGTGTAAAACTAATTATGATATTTTACATGTACTTTTTGTTTAATATGATAAATATATGATATTATGCATGTGTCTGAATGCCTTTTTTTTTGCAAAACATATGTATTTTTTATTATTATTTTTTATTTTATTAATTTTTATTATTTATTTATGATGTTAAAGTTTAATACATTTAATCCAAAAGTTGAATTATTTTTTATTAATTTTTATATTTCATTTTTGGTTGGTTCTAAACTATGTATTTCATTTTCATTATCAATAAAAATAATTTGGTTACATAAATGTGTCTAATTTTTCTATATTATTTGTAATTTTCTATATTTATTTCTATTTTAATAATTTTATTACCTAACTATGACTCCGTAGATTGATCAATTTGATTCAGATGGTTGAATTGCTTAACCACAACTTAGATAAAGAATGGTTTTGTTTATTAGTCAATTTTAAAATATATGGACTTATACCGTTAAAAATATTGACATAGATCTAATTAGTAACATTTATTAGTGAAAATAACTTAAAAATATAGGATTTAATAAGAGAAAATGGGATTTAATACCTTAAGTATCAGACTTAATTAGAAGACATTAAATGAGGTGGAAAGTAATAATTAAAGTTACATTTTCAACCCTTACAATTAGAGATGGATTAAATTCACAAATATGGGCATTTTAATAGCCATTAAATCTATAACAAAGTGCCTTTTATACCCTTACTCAAACAAAGAAATAGAGGGTAATTTTAATCCAAAAAAACTTCCGCACTACATTCACACGCACACACACACACCCATTGATTTCTGGGTCAGCGGTTCGGACTATCCAATTTGAACAGGCAGCTTGTTCCAAATTAAAAAATTAAAAATAATAAAATTAAAAAAATGGCCAAAAATTGTTGTTCAGGTCGAACGGGTTAACGTTCAATCTCCCGAGTCAATGAGTCATTGACCAAGTCAATGGTTTTAGGCCGAAGAACGGATTAAGGGTGAAACAGAACCAGTTGCCCAGACGGTTCTCGGGCCGAACGGTCTGATTCTTCAGGTCAACGATGATTCGGAAACACTGGTCAATATGTAGAGGTGTAGTGATACTTGGAAATAGTAAAGGTAGAGTTAGTGATTTTAAATAATCACTTGCCTTTTTTCTCTAAATAGTTGCCATATTGTCTACCTTTCCCTTCCTTTACAAATCCTACTACTAGCTTCCACTAACTCTACTTTTACAAACCTTTACTTATACAAATCTTATAATGGTAATGGCTTCTAAACTAAGGTTTTGTTTGGTTGCAGTGCAAACGCAAATATGTACACTACATATTTACCCATTTTTCGGTTCAAGAATGCAAAAACAATTCGCATTTTAAACCGTTTTTTCATTCATCTTGTTTGTTTGAAATCGGTGCAAAAGTGTGGGCCCATCATTAAATGCTCCAAATATCATATGCTTTTTAATGCCTTAACTTTGGTCAAAATGTTAATAATCAAGAGAGCACAAAATTGTATCCAAAAAATAGGTAAAGTAATGCTCTCTTTTTAGAGTACAAAAGTGTTAGAAAATGCAATTTTGCTCTGATAATAATTATTTTTTTATGCATCAAGCAAACACTCTCAAACGCAAACCGGAGTACATAGATATCCCAATTCGGCGTTTGTATCACAAACAAACGCAGCCTAGGAAAATTAAACCAGAATTTTTTTTTTTCATTTGCACTCTAGAACAAATGCAAGGAGTGCAAATGACAAATACAAAATTTAGTTTAATTTTTCTTTTGGGTTTTAGGTCTTATATTACTTCATTTGTAAGCAAACAAAATAAAGTAAATTTTGAAAAAAAAAAAATCATAACTTGTACCAAAATCATTTACACTACTATAGTTTTGCATCAATACAAATAAATTTGCATTGTAATCAAACACAACCTAAGGCTCAATTTGGAAAGAGTACAAATGCAAATATGTACAGCGCAAATATATACATAATATAAGGTTTAATTTGCTCTCTACATATTTACATTTGTACTTCTTCCAAACTGAGCCTAAATGTATGTATTTACCTTTTTTTATTTTTGGAACATTCTTTTAACTCAATCAAAGACTACCTGAAACTCACGCTTATGCTCTGCTCTAAGCCTTCTCCTTTGAAAACCTACTTGTACAAATTCCCCAAAATCAGTCTTAACCAAAACAAAACCTTGCTGTTGAGAGCTTCATTTCGATTTTTCCAAGTATTTTTGGGTCTTAAAAGTAACAATCACTAAAGAGACTAAAATATAGGTGAGATTTAAATGGGTATTGCAGAGATTTTCAAGATATAGGGGAGTATAGCCCCCCTGGCTCTGCCCCAGATGGATAACAAACTAAATCACAGAATTCTGCAGCCATTTCGTTGTACAAGTAAAGAGGAGAAGAGGAGAGAACTCGGACTACTACCAAGTCGAGGAGAACTGTGTGGACTTGAAACAAAGTGTCTCAAGGCTTTGTTTAAGACCCCCTGTACTATGGGGTCTGTGACAAAGACCCCTCTGTACTTTGTTTTGCAACAAAAACCCCTGTATTATGATCATGAGACAAAGACCCCCTTCTATTACGAGAAAAGCATTTACCTTCCCCGACCTCAAGATACATAAATAGTAATAGCGATAATCCCTTCTATCTCAGATTCTTTCACATTTCTTTAAATCCCTCTCTCATCCCCGATCTCTCTTCTTTCCCTTCCCCTTTCTCTCCTCCTCTTTCTTCTTCCACACGGTCCATGCCTTGTCGCTCTCCTCTTCGTCTCAAGGTTGAAGACGATGAACTTATATTATAGGGTACGAGTATCTTCTCCGCCGAGAACCACCCAATTCATATCCATGGATACGATTTCTACATCGTTGCAGAGGGCTTTGGGAATTTCAATCCGCAAACTGACACGGCTAAGTTCAATCTTGTCGATCCACTAATGTGGAATACTGTTGCAGTTCCAGTGAATGGATGGGCAGTGATCCGATTTGTTGTTGATAATCTAATTATGTTCTTATTTGGTATTACCTCCTCTGCATCTTCAATTATAGTTTCACCAATCTGATGCGTTTATTTATTTTATTTGGGAAAAAAAACAGGAGTTTGGCTGATGCATTGTCACTTGGGCGTTCACATCACCTGGGGATTGGCTATGGCCTTCCTGGTAGAGAATGGAATCGGGGAGTTGCAGTCTTTAGAGCGTCCTCCAGCTGATCTTCCTCCTTGTTAAGATATTCAACGACAAACAGCTGAAAGTTGCTGGTGGTTGATTTGTATCTGTTAGAGACCGGGATTTCTGTTTCTTGTCTTTTGTTAGGCTTATTTGCTCTGTATTGTTCGCCTCATTTGGCGACCATGTTCTTATTTTGTTTTTCCTCTCTTATTTCTTTTTCTTCCTTTCTTTTCCCTTTTACTAATATACAACGGGTGATGTTGTCTTAGAACTAAATTTTAAGTGCAAAGTTTAGTAAAGAAGCCGAAACATTTGTATGTTCTAGCTAGGCCGAACCTTCCACTGTCAGACAACAAACTTCAGAAGAGCATCTCACCTGACCCAATCATCAATCCACAGGCTGAAACAATAGCAGCAGGAGGCAGAGCTTGAACTTTGAAGGTCCCAGTGCAGCTCTTAGCTCTTAACAAGAGGCAAGCGTTTCATATTTTTCAACTGCCTCTGTTTTTGCAAACTGCAATTGCCAATTGAAAATCCGAAATCTACAGAATGACAAAACAAATAAAAAGGACCAAGTTATACTCGTCAAATCATTAAAATTTTATCTCTGAAGAAAGTACTGAAGAAACAGAGGAAGAATTATTTCGGCCACTTAAGCCATAATCAAATAGCCCCTTCGTCAATAGGTACAGAATCGATACGGGTTCATATGGAACTTGAGAGAGATACTATAAAAATTGGAAAACGAAGACCCGTTCCCTAATTGAAAACGAAATCTTAGCCCATCTGAGCCGAGAATAGAGATCATTTCTGCCTACATGAACACAATGAGGGTTAGCAAGGGATATGCCCGAATTAGTCGCTGCTACAAGTGGTGGTGATTATGGCCGAGAGGAACAGAAAACAGAGGAAAGCGGGAAAAAGAAAGAAGAAGAGAGAAAGGGGAAGGGGAAGAAGAGAGATCGGGAAAGAGAGAAAAATGTGAAGGAATCTGAGGTAAAAGGTATTACCGCTACTGTTGCTCATGCATCGTGCGGTCGGGATTAAAAAATATTAAACAACTTTTTAGAAGGAAGGCTAAGAAGAGGGTCTTTGTCTCACGGTCATAATACAGGGGGTCTTTGTCACAGACCCTGTACTACAGGGTCTTTGTAACTTACATTTTTAAAACAATTAAATTTTACTTCTCATGATGCAACTACAACCATACGATTAACCCAATTATAACCCAAAAAAATTAAAGAAAAAAAGTGGAAGAAATGCAAAATAGTGGCATGTTTTGTCCCATCGACATCAGTCCTTTATGCCGGTCTCGCGGTGTCTAATAAGAAAGATCGAGAGAGAAAGAAAAGTAAAACAAAACTAAACAGAAAATTTTAAAGGTTGTCTAAGGAGACACTAAGGCAGTACAAATATAAATATACTGTGTGAATACATACAAAATACAATATTTTGTATTCTATATATTTATATTTGTATTCCTTCCAAATTGAGACTAAAGAGTAGAAATACAAATATTGAAATATGTATAATACAAATAGATACAAGATTCAGGGTTTTACACTTTACATATGTATTTGCACTCCTTCCTAATTGAGCCTAAAATTCACCAAAAATATGTCAAATGTTAAGCCCGAAAGCATTGATATAAACAGATAGATTTTCCATTGTCTTAGGAGTTAGAACCTCACCTATTGTTTGCTGTAAGGCCCTGTTTACTTTTTGGTAAGTTTTTTATCCAGGTAAATGTATTTACCCAGGTAAGTGTTTCCCAAGAAAGATTTATCCGAGTAAGTGCATTTACCCATGTTCTTTTATTTCCCATGTAAATAAGACAATATCCATTTTAGCCATAAAAATTCATTATTAAAAGGGGTATTTGTGTCCAATTCAAGTGTTGACAACTTTCCCCCCAGGTGGGAAAGTTATTTATCCACCTACGAGATGTGTATGGTAAAGCAGGAAAATAAACTTTTCCTGGTCCTCACATAAATCTGAAAAAAAAAAAAAAACATGGGATTCTTGGTCAATGGGAATCAAAATGCCATTGGCCAACTTTCCCCATCTTAAAATCCAAAAAAAGAACGCCCCCTAAGTAGAAATATTTTATGTTTCAACATTTGTTATTTTCATAGTATGTTGAGAATTTCTAAGACAACAATGTCGTTAACAATGACCTAAGCTTCTTTGTAAACTTAGGGGGTGTTCTGTAGTGTGGATGAGAAATTGGTGGGTGGGGACTGGTCCATAGCACACCCTGTGGTAGGGACCAATCCACACCACACTACAGTTCACAACTATCCTGACTGTGGACAAACTGTGTGGACTAGACCAGTCCACATTACACTTTTTTTATTCTATATATCTTAATACATTTTATGAATGATATATACAGTTAATCATAAATATCTAATTTTTGCAATTTATATGATAAATATTTTGAAAAATGCATCAATGAATTAATATTAACCAATAAATATTAATTTTTTATAGAACAATAGTAAAATATTTAAAATATTTAAAAAATTATAAAAATTAAAATTAAAAAATTAAGTAAAATAATTAATATTTAAACAATTAAGTAAAATAATTAATATTTTGAAAAATTTTAAAAATTAAAAAATGTAAATTAATTAATATTTTATTGACAAAAATATTAAATATAATATTTAAACAATTGAAGCATGGGATAAAAAATAGGGTTTTGATCCAACGGTAATGTGAAACAAACAATAGGGTTTTAGAGAGACTTGTGAAGCATGGGATAAAAAATAAACCGTGGAGGGGATGCATCCACGAGTTTTTCCTGTTGACGCTATATTGGGGTGTGGCGTGGACTAATCCCGTCCGCATGGTTAAAAATGACGAGGAAGAAAGAATGAAAAAATTTAGATTTTTAAAATATTATATCATGTACCATTACATTCAAATGGAATGCAATAATATGCTAACAGTAGGGATAGAGTTGGTCAATTGTTAGTCAATTTTATACAACTTTCATGTATTTTGCAAACAGGATGGGTAGAGTTAGTCAATTTTATACAACTTAAGGATAGTTTAAATATTTTACCCAAAACTAATTGAATAGGTGATTAACAGAGGACAATTAATGAAAAAGGGTAGACACCAATTGAAGGAGAACTGGGAATAGCAACAGGGTGGGTTTAAGGTGGAGACCATAATCTCCATTCCCAATAAGCAATTCCCCATCCCTGACCCCAATCCCCATTAGCGAGAAAAATGAAAAAATCAACCTCCATCTCCAGTACTTGTCGGAGATGGATTTCCTATAAGGGACTTGAATCCCTGTATTCTTTTTCTTTTTTCGGTTAAAAATATATGCTTTGAAAAAAAGATTTACTTAAAAGAAAAAAATCACTAATTTAAATTGGTTTATACTAATAGAAATTTATCCAATATATGCAAGGACATTAGTACAATTATACAGAACTACTTTCAAAATTTCCCATCCCCACCCCACCTAAGCAGCCTCCATCCGTTTATTAATGGTTGGAGAGGCCAATGACATTAGTACAATATATGTCCATTAATATTTGTAATGACATTGATACAATTATACAAAACTAGTTTCAAATTTTAAAATAAAATTTAATTGGCCATCTCATCCCCACCTCATCAAAACAGTCCATCCTCGATCCCATCAAGTTGGAGAGGTCAATGACAATATTACAATATATGTCCAATATCTATAATAACATTAATACAATTATACAGAACTACTTTTCAGTTGGTAGGTTATCAAGGGGATGGGCTATAGCCCCATGAAGCGAAAAAAATACTTTCAAAATATAACTTCATTGGCCATCTCATCCCCGACCCCATCATGCACGTTGGAGAGGCCAGATTATCATCTCTAACCACACCTACCCCACCTCTTATATTATTGTAGTATAAAGAAATTCAACATCTACCGCCAATGAAACAGCAAATGAAGACACCAGCATGCTGAATCATTGCCCCTTTGATTAACAAAATTAACAGGGTGTTCTATCTGTCTACATATAATTAATTATGGATTTATTAACTATTAATTAATTAATTAATTAATTATTGAAACCCTTTTAAATTAATTAAATTCAATATTTTGGCATTACAGTTTGACTAGTACAATTGCAAATTAATTAATTAGCTCAAATCGACAATGTTCATCAAGACTCCCAATAATAAGTAAGTAAGTAGCACCCAGCATTGACTTTGACCTTTACTTTAAGAGTATGAATAGACATATTACGCATCTAATAATGTCTGCTCAGGAGATCGGCTTCCATGTGCTCAAACTGTTCCAATTGACTTTTTCAATCTTGTATTTTCCATAAAATAAAATACAAGTACGAAAATATTCTCAATGCAAAACAGTAAACACTGCCCGAATAAACTTTACCCTGATTGAATCCGAACTCATGTCATGAACATGTTCATAATTATAGAGTCCGATCTGTTATTCAGCATGCTCCTCATAGTATGTTCCGGTCTACATTGGGAATATTTCACGCACTTTATGTTAGTATATATTCATGAGAAACATTTCTAATACATGTAGTATGTGCCTGTGAGGAGCACATTGACCAACAGATCCCAACTCCTAAAATGGGAGATCAGAGATGTTTCTAGTGTATGACTGAAACTTGTTGAGAGGTTGGTGTGACACGTGCCCAGTGAGGAGCAGATCCGAAAGAGTGTTATTTTTTTCTTTTTTTTTCATTTTTGGTTTTTTTTAAGGCCATATACAGAAAGAACATATGGGCCCGTAGGGTAGGTAAAAACATAATTAAACATTTCAAACCCGACCACAAGAAAATTAGAGTGACCACATTATAAAAATTATAAAAATATTAAATTTTTAAGATTATTATTATTATTAATAAGAAGGATGGTAGTAGGTGGAGAAGATTGAGGAAGGAAGGTTAAGCGAAGAAGAGGAGAGAACATGCAAACCCTAAAGGGAATCTTTTAGGACAAAAACGGAAAAAGATGCTCTCTAGCTGGTGCCGTGCCGGTTCTAACTTCTACGGCCCCTTCAATTTTGTATTTCACCCAGATCTCATTTCTTATATATACAACTAACCAGACGATGGGATAGGCAAATTCAGAACTCAGAGAAGTAGCTCAGCTCGGCCTCGGCCCCGAGAGAGTAGTGTTGAGTGTAGAGAGGTGTAATTTTTCCGTCCTTCCCCTTGAGCATTAATTCTCTCTTTGAAACAAGGAGAGAAGGGTTCAAAAATGAGCTCAAAAAACATCGCACCCATCATCCTTGTATTCTTCCTTTGTATCTCTGGCTCTTCTGCCATCCCCGGTGGCAAGAAGATCAAGTACCACAAACCATGTAAAGAGTTGGTTCTCTACTTCCATGACATTGTTTACA